ATATATGTGTGTGTGTGTGTGTGTGTATTTATTTATTTATAAAGAGAAGTTTATTATCAAGAAAATGGTTTATGATTGCAGAGTCCCAAATCCTCAGTGGAAGATAGAGAGAGTTCCTTCTGTGTGTCCATTATCTTAGGAGCTGACCACATCCCCAAGGAAGCATCCCTTGAATTGATTTGCTACTCATAGCCACTCATCATAGAATTAACTATGCCTGTATTAATCTCCATCTTCATGAGAATAATCACATCCCAAGTGCTAGACCTGTGGAAATCCTGGCCTAGTCAAGTTGACACAGAACCCTAACCACTACACTGCCATCTAGCACTTGTCCATTGACCCTTTCTCTCACTGGTTCAACTCAGTTGCCAAATCCCTGATATCTGGCCCTCTTCTTTATAGTAGGGATACTTTGCTTTGGAATAGTTATGTGTTGTGACTGTTGTGCAGCTTTGGATCCAAATCTCCAATGCCCAGGTCAAAGGGAGTGCATAGAATAATGGTGTTAAGATTATAGAGTCCATTTAGGGTTGTTGTGGTGGATTGCAGAGACAAAAGATTGTTGTTTGTTGTTGTGAAGTGCGGTCAAGTCGTTTCTGACTCATAACAATTCTGTATAATAGGGTTTCTGAGGAGCAACTGGTGAGCTTGAACTGCCAACCTTGCAGTAGAAATGGTTTTGCAATCTGGCGTATTAACCCACAGCGCCACACCAGGACAAAAGATGAATGTCCCCAAATAGCTGCAAATTCTGCATTATTTGCCACAGTCTTCCCCCCTCCTCCCTCACCTTGTTGCTGTGCCTGCCACAATACCCTATACTCATAATGTCTTTATGTAATCATCCACCATGTCTGGGCAAAAAGCCCAGTACCACATGACTCCCTGCCATTCTGAGCTGTACACCACTCATGGACACATATGGCTTTCTTACTATTTAGTATAAAAGGGCTCACATCTATTTCCTTGGCATGGAACCAAACCTGCCAGTTGGCTACACTGGAAGCTGTAGTGCTGTCCTGGTCTGCAAGTTCACCTTTGAAATAAAATTAGTATCTCTTTGACTGTCTCCAAGTCATTTTTTCTGTCTCTTGAACACCATTCATTTAGAGGGTTTTTCCTTGTTGGGTTTAAATCCCAAACAAGTATTGTCATTGTTCTTAAGTGCCATCTTGTCAGTTCCAACTCATAACAATCATGGATATGATTTTGGACAAGTGGCTATTGAATTTGAACTACTGAACTTGCAGTTTAAATTGATCTTGCAGTCCAGTGCTTACCCTGGAAAGCATAGCCGGACAGCACAACAAGCTGAAAAGCCTCTCGAATTGTATTCATTTCTTCATCAGACGATTCCACGTATTCGCTCGTGTCCCACCACCCACACGGAGAGCAGGAACTCCTGCAATATGGCGCCCAACGTGGGGCACGAGTAGATAATCTTCTCTGATTAACCCTTTCAGCACAGCAAAGAAGCTGCGTCTCCCATATCAGACAGGAGCGGGTAAGTCTCTTTTAATTGTTTCCATGTGGATTCGTACTCCACTAGAGGGCGCTGCAGGCCCATTGGTACAGACAGACCGATTTCAGAGAAGTGGAAAGTTTAGCAGAACTAAGAGAGAAATGGGCCATTCAGAGTCCAAAGACAGACAGCTTTTCATTGAAAATATTAAACAGATGCTTGCAAAGACTGGTATAGAAGCTGACTCTAATGTGTTAGCAAGATTCTCACATTTTATTCAGTCCTGCTGTCCTTGGTTCTCTGAGGAAGGAATTGTAAATCCAGAGTCCTGGGGAAAGGTCGGTGTGGAAATAAGGAGGTATTACTCCTGTAATGGACCTGAAAATGTTCCAGTAGAGGCATTTGCCTTCTGGAATTTACTTCGTGACGCCTTAAATCCTCGTAATGAAACTACTCATTTTGAACACTCTCTCTCTCCTCCAACTGAGAAATCTCCTCTCTT